AGTCAGATTTGTGCAGGTCCATGCCGTGACAATGAAATGAAAAATATATTAACTTTTGTAGTGTGGCCTCATGTCAAGAAGCACCGCAACAAAATTCATCCCCGACCCTAAAACTACATGGTTTATGAACACGGGATGGACGAAGCGAGTAGGACGAGGTAGAAGGCGCCAGAGAGAGAGAGAGAGAGAGAGAGAGAGAGAGAGAGAGAGAGAGGTGGAGCAGGCAAGATAAAGCGCTGACAGAGGCGAAGTACGAGCAAGAAGAGAGAACATCAGGGCCAGAGGAGGAGGTCGACGGACCGACCGCTCACGGCGGGTTGGCCAATATGCGATGCACTGCCTGTCGCGGAGGAGGGTGGGCGTCATCACAGCCCTAGAGCTCCACGCCCCCCCCCTTCCCCTCCCTCTATCCCGCCCCACATCTTCGCCCGCGACAGACTTCAATATGTGATGAAACGGCGCAGGAGGATAGAGCGGGACCTCAGCTGCGCTGCGTGACTGTGATCCCCGCCTAGTGGCACCCGCCCCCGGGAGCACACTCACCCGCGCCCAGGTGACCCGGTATGGCCCCTGCACTGAAAATGGAAATGCACACTCGAAATGTAAAGGAACAATTTTGTTCCCTACAGGAGAAACGCCCAATGTGAAAAATATCTAAATGTAAAATGGGTGGCCCAAAAAGCAACGACACCATTTCACCATATTTCAACATTTCGCACAAATAACTTTGAGGAGCTCCGGCGCGGCCCGGACCACTCACGTGCCTCTTACCTCCTAAGCGCCTCACCTGCATGATTCAGATTCGATGCAGCGCCGGGTGACCCCAGCGCCGCGTGACCCGCCAGGCGATAACTCAGGGCAGCGCAGTGCGCGGCCGTACGTGTCCCAACTGTTGTAATAGCTGGCCGAAGGACGGGGTGCCTTTCACAAGGCGTGCGTACGCACCCAGCAAAATGATTTCTTGCATCAAGTACATTTTGTACTAAAAGTGACAAGATTAATCTGTCCTTGACTCAAGACGATTTTTCCTTTGGAGTTAAGAACATTTTCTTCATCGGAAAGTAATTTTATCTTGCATCAAGAAAAAATTAATCTTGTATGTCACTTTTAGTGCAAAATGCACGTACTTTTGAGTGCGCGCATATGTAGATACGAACCCAGAAAACTGAAAAGTTGTGGGAACCATCTCACGGTTCTTTTGGGGATTTTATGGTTGAGACAACGGTCCGTCAGTGGTGCAAACCGTATTCTTGGTTGATGCACTTCTGCTGTTGTTGCCTCAACCATATTGTATAGGTGTCCCTGCAGTAACCACACGCTGGTTGCTACAACTCCACATTATTCTGAGTGCAAGACGCAGTTAAAAGACGGACCTTGGGGTGCGGGGAGAGCATGAGAGATGCGCCGAGTTTTCACGAGAAAGAGAGCACAATATCATCCCATCATTGCAAATGCATAGGACTTGTGCTTGCCCTTCTTCTGTTGGACTGCCATAGTATGTCATGTGTGTCGGGATGTCTCTTTCAGCGCGCGCGCACACACACACAAGCTGAGTTGATCTGCTCTCTTCAGATAGCCGCCTGCCAGCAGTTCCCTCCCCCGCTCCAACCCCTCACATGCAGCCCTCCCGTGTGACGGCACACTGCACACCTCACGAGCAGCGCGTCGACATAATTCGCCGACGCCAACTCCCCCTCGGGGCGCAGCGCCTCGGCAAGCGTGGAGCAGGGCGGATGCGCGCGGGGCCGGCGCGGCCGGGGCCGTACGTGAGGCGCGCGCTAACCGCCAGAGTCGGCATTGTTCAAACTATTGCGGGAGCAGCCTACCTGTGGTGACGCTGGTGACGATGCACATGGTGAAGCTGAGGACCCACAGCCTCCTCATGGTGACGCGAGGGCTTCACCGGAAGGACACACGGGCATCTGCAAACATGACATTGTGAGGATTAGTACAGTCCGGTGCCGATACGGGTGTCCTGTAATTTTACAACAATGGAGATGTGAATGTGATTTGATGGCTGAGCCATAAAGACAGATCACGCGAGGCCTCAAAAATTAGCATGCAATTTTTTTTTACCATTACGCACAATTTATTTATTTATTTATTTTGTACAACTGGTGTGGTCCAGAGGGCGAGGCCCTGTGTTGGACATAAATTTACATTTGTATGGTGGCAACAGTGAACAGACAATTTTCCAACCCACAACGAGCATCCGCAAGAGGTGCAAATTTATTACCAGTACAGGAGAGATAACGTTACGGTCAGTTCACTTTCAATACCAGCGGAGCAGGCGGAGGCGCGACGCAACATATAAGTGATTCGCTGGGTGTGTGGGGCGGCGCGCGGGATATGGTGTCGGCGGACGCGGGGCAGGGGCAGGCCGAGGTCGCGGAGCGCAAACAAAACTCGGCGGAATAATGCGTTGTGCACACCGAACCCCCCCAATGATTGTTAGCAATCCTTATTGGGTTAGCACGCGCGCTCTTTCTCTTTACACCCCCTCCGCCTCTCCGCCCCCATCCCTTTTACACACACAGACACGCGCACGCCTGGCCGCACACCGTTCCAATTACCATGAGCGTGAGCACACACACGCTCGCACACACACACACACACACACACACACACACACACGCTCGCACGCTCTCGCACACGTACTCGCGCGCACAACTGATCCCCGTGGAGCTGCCCACTTGGAATTATTCGCGGCCGTTTAGGAGCGTTATACTGCGGCGCTCGCTTGCCCTTGGTGCGCGCGGCGCGCGGCGCGCGGGCCGCTGGTCTGGTGCTGGTGCAAGGCCGGCGCCGGCGCCGCGACGAGACGCTCGCAGAGGGCGCGAGCAGGCAGCGGGCCCGGAATGAGAGCGGAAATGTGTTTCTTCACGGAATTGAAGCGCGATGAGGGTCCTCAAGCTGCGACCATTTCATTTGAGCCGTTTCCTTGTTCAAGACTTCATTATTTGACTCAGAATCCCAACAATGACAAAACAAGTCAGATATTTCCGCCGTCTTCTTAATCCTGTACGGTAGTGAGCAGGATTTTCATGGCTCGATAGGAGGATGATGGCAAACACTTGTTACGACTCGGGGCGAGGAACTTGCAAAACACTCGCCCTCTCTGTATGATCCTCGAGAGCGAGGAGTCGTGCGCCCTGCGATTGTTGTCAGAGGGCTGCCCTCGAACATGCATGCCGCCTGCAGAGCCATTAGGAGGGCCGCTTGCTCCCGCCGCGCCGCGCGCCGCTGATGGACACACAAACTGGCAAAGTTTCGGGAGCGCAGCCGCCGAATGGGGAACGACGGAGAGAAACACCACCCGCCTGGCCGGGCCGCGCCGTGCATCCGGCAACGAGCTTTTGTCTGATCGTCTCCCGCGAGGCGATCGAGATCGGGGGGTTCTTTGCCCGTCGACCGCGTCGCGAGTTTGTTTGTACTCGATGGGATCATTATTTGCCGACCACAGCAGGATGCACGAGGCAAAATAAAGCAGGCGAGGAGGTGGAGGAGGGGGTGGGGGGGGGGATTAAATGGGCAGAAAAAAAGGTGAGATGGGGCCCTGGTACAGAGGGACGATGGGGAGGGAGGCAAAGCGGACGCTCGCGTACCGCTATCCATTACACATGAGGGGGCAGCAGCTCAAACGATTATTGCTCAGAGAGGCGCTCACTTTTGATCTACTGCCAGTTGTCATAATCCACCTTCATGCATGAGGAAAAGGGGGGGGGCGCTGGGATGGAGTGGGTGGGGGCGCGGAACAAGAGTTTCAAGCAGCACTCGTCTGCTCCTGTTCGCCGCTCCACCACGCCCGCTCCCGCTGGGACCCCCCCAAACAGAGATCTAATGTGGGAACACAGAGATACCATCACCGTGACCGCCAAGGTCCCGCCCAGACCCACCCCTCCTCCTCTCCCCGCGAGGGACGCGCCGTGTAAACGGCTTTGGGGTCACCGCTGCTTGCCAAGTTTTGATCTGATGCTAAACTTTGCGTGTCAGGTAAGGGTAGTGTCTCAATAAGCAGCCTAGGTTAGGTCCTCCTCCAGGTCCTTCTCGGGCCTGCAGTCCACTGCGGCCCCAACCTCAGTCGGAGGCTGGCGGTCGGAACTCCAGTTTGCAAAGCAGCTTCCATCACCAATATTGGCTATGCCGCTGTCACCGCGACCCTTTGCACCGGTCTTGATGTGCGATAGGGAAACGTAGACAGTAACTCTACATAAACACGTGCACCATAGTACTTTAAAGAACGCAGTCTTGCGTACTCGAGGTAAAACACGAACACGAAAATAGAAAAGTTCTAAAATAGCGGCTCCTGGAAACTCTCTCCTTGCTCTTTCTTGAATTGTTTCCATGTTCACATGTGCACACATTTGTAACTTTTCTTGGTTTGAAAGTCAGAGCTTGTATTTGACTCGCGCCCTGGTTTGCCACAAAACCATAACATCATTTATTGAGCGGCGCGGGGTGCGGTCTGTTCATTTCACGTTTGCACCGCCAATTAAGTGAGTTCCATATCATATAACCGTGATATCCTCGCGAGTATAATGCGAGTATTTTCTTTCTCCGATCAAAGGTCGACGCAAAAAGAGTTGTGTTACGCCAGGGGTCGGCAACGGCCTAGAGAGAGGACGGGGCAGGGCTCGAGACCCCCCTTCTTGCCCCCTTCCACTGTTTACCCCCACCACCTAACCTGCAGCTCCGCCGGTGACCGGTGTTTGAATACAAGTTTTGAAAAATATTGGACATAATTTGACAAAACCAATG